TATACCTAGCTCCCTCAAGCATTTGTCGTACAATTTAGCTTCCAGGCCCTTTATTATTTTTGGTGTTCTTCTCTTCACATTTTCCAGAATTTCAACTTGTTTTTTATATTTTGGTGATCAGAACTGAATGCAGTATTTTAAGTGTGGTCTCACCAGCACAGGGTAGTCAACAGAGGGATAGCATCAAGACAACAAAAAGTAATAATACTTCTTGTTGTCTTGATGCTATTCCTCTGTTGATACAGTCTAGGACTGCATTGGCTTATTTGGCAGCTGCAGCACGCTGATGCACACTTAAGTGGGGTCCACTAGGGCATCTTGATCCCTCTGACAATTACTACTGTGAGATAAATATGAAAATATGGAATTATAATAAATATAAACAATGAACAATGAATATAAACAATAAATATGGAGAGATAAACTTCATGTTTTGTGTAGAACTATGGATAGAGTACTTTTGTACGTTCACCAATAATGATAGAAATACAACTTTTTCATGCAGCTCTGCTAACTTTCTCTATCAAAATAATGTTTTTTCCCAAAACAGATTGTGATAGCATCATAGTTACAGGAGGAAGTTTTAAGCTTTTAGTAGCACAACTGAGGTTTACTGAGATTCTCAGCTCAAACCTGGAAAATAGCCATGAAAAGTGCTTTATTTCCAGAATAAAACCATTGAGGGATGGACAATAATATGAAGTATGATACAATACAATACACAATAGCATACAGAGTCAGGTGATAGCAACACAGCAGAAAATAATATAGATGCTCTTTCAGTTAACTGAAATGGACTGACTGACTAAAAAAAAGCAATTTCTCACAGTTGATAAATTCTGATGAAGTTGGTGAGAGTTAAGACAGAAAAATAACCATATCCACAGTGATCAAGGGAGCATGAAGGAAAAGATGTTTAAAAAAGGTAAGATAAGGAAAGGTAATTTATTCTTTCACATTTAAACATATTTGACCACTCTTCCAAGTTTGCAGATCTCAGAAGATAACATGAAAATAAGATCTATTTCCATTTACATGTTGTTGAGCCTCACATTACTGATCAACCAATTCCATTTCTGTAATCTCCAACTCTACACACTGGGTAGCTGATTCACTTCTGCTGCTTTTGAAATAGAAACATTACAGATTACCAAAAGAAATGTAAATTTCTTGCAGACTGGATTCATAGCTCACCTTCTTTTATCCAGGAAATATTAGGAGTCAAGTTTTACTATGCTATGAGCAAAATAAGCTACTGCTTATGATTCAAAACAAATCATGAAGCTATTCCATCCTATTAATTTCATAATAAGAAAAAATAGAAGAAGCAGTGGGAAAACAAGGAGGAATAAAAATATCAGTTGCCAGTTTTACCCACTCCATGAATGACAAACTGATTATAGAATAACAACTTACTTGGAAGTACCTTAAATTAAAAAGAAGGAATATTTATGGGAGTTTGTTAGAACCAACTGAATTCTCACCACACATAACATTAAATAGGTAATAACTGCAAGAGCATCCATTCCCTTACAAACTTACTGGAGCTTACTCATTACACGAACTTTGGACAGCATCTGACTCACAATTCTTCCGCTTAGGGCTGTTCTACAGCTGAGCCAACAAATATGCTAATTGTAGAATGTTCTGTTCCAAGTGCCTTCTGCTGCATCTCTGTTAATCCATCATGAAGCAAATAGAACCTAAAATTTGTCATAGGGACTACACAACTAGGGAAGCCTTGCTTAGAAGATGTGATCAACATCAGCATTTCAGAGTAACAGAAAATCACAACTTTTTTCATCTTAACCATTTCTTGCCATTCCATTTTTAGACCATTCTCTGCACCTAGCATCTTTTTGAATTGAAATTCCATTTCTAATGTATTGTAAATTAACCACCACTTCAATTTATTCTTGCTTAAAAGCAATAGGGTTGTTTTGGATTAATCTATAGAAACTCTGAAATAGTATAAATCAAGCTGTCTGTTAAATGGGTTTCAATTGTATTGTTTCTTATGAAAATAGAACGGTAAAAGGAGTTCCATCCAAAAGCCTTAGCTCATTTCTCCCAGGTGACTTTGGTGCTTCTATTTATATGCTGATCATGTTTACAAGTAGCACAGCTAGCTTTCTTGTCTAGCTAGCTACCTTTTAAATACCTTTGGCAAGTGTGGGTAAAACAGTTGTCTTCCTTGCCCTGGCAATCCCATTGGCTTACTAGGATAAAATTTTTAAGAATGTTAGCTATATTTTACCAGATTTCAGCTTGGTGTAAAATTTTAACCCATCTACTATGATTTAGCAATAATGTTAGGTTGAATCATATTAAAATAATGTACCCAAAGTATGACTGGTTTTCCAAAGTTAGTGCTACTGTGAGGTAAATGGAATGCCCTCTAGTGCCCATATTGAATAGCCCTAGATATCTTCTAGTGCAGGGTATTATAAAAACTTCATGGAGGAAAAGCAAGTATCTTCTGATCAAATCCATCAAGATAGCATCAGCTTTCTTCTACCAGCTCTGATAGATTGAGATAGCACATTGGGCAAAAGTGAAGAGATCCCCACACTAAAAGCTGCATTACACTAGCTCCAATTGCAGTCAATAGTGAGACATATTTTATCATTTATCCAAAGGCTCAGATTTTGCTCCTACTAGGGGGAGATGTCATGTTGAGTGTATAAAAGTACAAGACTGGCTGCTTCATTGCAGGAAAAGTCTATGTGGGCAGAATCTACAGGACTGACAACATACATGTACACAAAACAAGGATGCTAGAGAATGACTGGATTGCCTACTTCAGTGCCACAACTACATGCTATGAAAGAAGATATTTCTCTGTGATCAGATCTGTCATAATATCAGACCATAGATCATTCCTTAAGTTCCGCAGAGCCCATCAAGAAGAATTCAGAATTCAGGCTCTTGTAAGTAGTAGCCAAACGTATCTACTGAGCAAAATCTTTTCACCATCTACTGGACAATACTAGAGAATGTCTCTTGTAGCACAAATGCAGCAAACTACTCTGCCAAAGGAAACAGTCTAGGCAAGGTAGGTGATCTTGCAAATATGCTGTTTGATCCCTCTCTCTCTCTCTCTCTCTCTCTCTCTCTCTCTCTCTCTCTCTCTCTCTCACACACACACACACACACACACACACACACACACACACACCCCACACACATGACATTTACTATAATATGAAAGCACTTGAAAATGAAATAGAACAATCAGGTAGGGTAAAAAGTAAGACAAATATTTCAGCCAAAATGCTGACTACATCAATCCAGGCAATTTCTGGACTTCTGGATCATCTTTTACTCTTATGCTATGCTGTTAAAAAGGAAAATAAATAGGAATAAACAGATATGTACGTATTTTATCTTCTAAGGTAATGTAAAAACTTGGAGAACAATTAAATAATCAATATTAAAAAAAGGAAAAGCAAACTCTGGGCAAAATCTCTTTTTTTCTAAATATTGCAATGAAGAAACTAATACATATAGACCTTGACCTGATGAGATAGTCTTATTCAAACCTTATTGCATTTCCCTTCTCTTTGCTTGCCTTTTCTATCTTTCGTGGTCATTAAAGTGCAAACTGTAAACTACTCAACAGTTGTATGTTTAAAATGACATTTATCTCTAAAGATCTACCTTCTGATTTTACAATTTGGTTCAGATGCATTAACACCTAAAACTCCTGAATTACTATCAACAGTGAAATGTTTTCATTATTATAGATCTATAGTATTTCATTGAATAATATTAAGATTCATGATAGTTCCTTCAAATAATTTTATATTCTCTGTTGGAAGGATAACATGTTAGACGAGACAGTAAATCATATGGTGTATGTTTTCCACTATTGTTCTGTTTTAGTTTACCACCTAGTATGATGTTGTTTTATAATGCTGGTTAAAGTATTATGATGTAAATATAGCTTATTCTAAATCATACACCAACATTTTGGAATTGATCAACATTGTATGTATAAAGCAATGAATTCATTGGACATGGAGCATAGCAAATCCATTATGGATTTACAGTTTTAGACTGATGTCATGTATTCTCGGTCTGCTTATGAATTGTTTTTTTAATGATACAATAGAAAGACCGATCTGTAAATTTTCACATGATCATGTAATATTTTATTTAAAAATTGGAATAGAATATGTGTAATTTTTTTAGTATCTTTAAAAAATTCAGTCGGTCTTTTTCTTTTAAATACTAAAACAATATTCTTTTTTTAAAAAATACCATATACTTTGAGAATTATGAATAAAAAGCTGTTAGACAAGTCTTCCCAACTTGGTATTTTTAGTTAGTACAGTTTGTAGGCCTTCCTGGGCAACACATGTTCAGGGCATGAGACTGGGGACAATTGTGTGAGATAATGCTTTCAGTTTCTATTCTAAATTGGTCCAAGCTTCTCAAAATTGTTTCTATAGAGGAAAGAAAATGATGCTAATTTGTCCTCTAGAATTAGTCACTAAGGGAGCAATTACAGATTCAGTTAATGTCAAAGATATACCTTCAGAACCAGCAGTATAATTTACACACAACATTTTCCATCTCTAGTGTTCATATTCGCCGTAGTGCCCTTGCATATTTTTCTTTTTGGCTTCCATTGTTTGGCAAAATAAATAAGGAACTAGGGCCAGATTATAAGGCTTCTAATGAATTGTGGTAATGCAGAGAAAATAATAGGCTTGCTGAAACTGTTACTTATTTAATTTTTTAATTTCTGTCGTGGTATTCTGTATACTATATTTTCTTATTACCAGAAGATTCTTGGTTATAATCCATGATATCTCTATTTATTGGAAAACTTTAGACTAAATCTTCTATACCTAAAGTATAATGCCGGTTTTAAGACACACCCTGTAATCTGATGAGAGAAGTTAAATATCAAATGAAAACTTCCTAGCTGCTTTAGTGGGACCTAGAATAACCTAAATTTTGTAATAAATATTAACTATTGTATTTACTGAAAGGATGCAGTGGCTCAGGGCGATGGCTCAGTTGGCAGCCTGTGTTCAAGACCAGAGTACTGCACAAAAGGGTGAGTTCCGGTTCCTGCCCCAGCTCCTGCCCACCTAGCACTTCGAAAGCACGCAAATGTGAGTAGAAAAATAGGTACTGCTTCAGTGGGAAGTTAACAGCATTTTGTGCACCTTTGGCATATAGTCATGCTGGCCAGTGGTGGGTTTCAAATTTTTTTACTACTAGTTCTGTGGGTGTGGCTTGGTGGGTGTGGCAGGGGAAAGATACTGTAAAATCTCCATTCCCACCCCAATCCAGGGGAAGGTTACTGCAAAATCCCCATTTCCTCCCGATCAACTGGGGCTCAGGAGGCAGAGAATAGATGGGGGCAGGGCCAGTCAGAGGTGGTATTTACTGGTTCTCCGAACTACTCAAAATTTCTGCTACCGGTTTTCCAGAACTGGTCAGAACCTGATGAAACCCACCACAAAAAATGTCTTTGGCCAACAGTCAAGAAACAGAAATAAGCACCACTCCCTTGAGTCGAACATGACTGGACAGGAAAACCTTTACCTTTATTGTATTTACTAGCTAGTAGTTAAGGTCAATGAGCTTGATGGTGCTGACTGGAATTTTTTAAAAAAAATTCGTTGATATACCAAGAGCAGACTACATTGATTTCTCACATTATTTTCTTGATGATTATCACAATGAAGACAATTACAACCGTTGTTATTAGTTTGATGATGGATTGTGAGAAATTGTGAGAAAACAAACATACTCTAAATGTAACATTCATAAATTACAAGTTGGTTCTATATTTGACAAACTATTTCCACCGATCTGAAAAGAAAGTAGCAGAACTCTCTCTATAAATAGATCGACTCTTAGTTTTCACTCTGGATATCTATCTCGTGAATTTTTGGCACTGTAATCACAGAAAGCAGTATCACAACATATTTACTGAACAGAATATAGGAACTTATTGTGACAGCTAGGGTGCCTCAAACATTTGCAGAGTCGACTGTTTTGCTAACAGTCTATCAGGAAAAAGTTCCACATGCAAGGACTGTCCCAAGCCAAATGGGAGGGGAATACAAAGCTGAGTATTCATGCTCTATATGCTTAAGCTGGCATTGGAAGAGGGAACGTGATGAGGAAAAACAAGTCATATAAATGTTGAAAATTATAAACAATCCATCATGCATCAAACTTCAACAAGAAAATCTTCCAGTTGAAGGAGAAGCAGCTATGCTTGTTAAAAAATATCAGAAAAAGAAAGCAAGCACTATAACCCTAGAGAGCTAGCCTAAGAAACTTACGTGAAGGCAAATGCCACCAATGCTCCACTGACCACAATAAAATCCAAGATGTTCCACAGATCCCGAAAATAAGAGCCCCGATGAAGGATCAGTCCTAAGTCAATCATCTGCAAAAACCAGACAAAGTAAAGAAATGCAGGTTTCCAAATCAGTACATATGAGTTTGATTAACTGCAGCCCTGAAATGTTCATTCTGAACATTAATCTAATAGGACCCACTTTGCAAAAGAGGAGAAGAGCCTAAAAATGAACTTTCTCGCAAGAAAATAAAAATACTAAGGATAAATTACAATACGTATGCACAGGGCAAATAATAATAACATCTAGTTCAGAGATCGAAGTTTGACTTAAAGGATTTTTGAATACATGAATTGGTATACTTGAGAATTGGTATGCTAGAATATAAGAATTTAATTACTATTGTTGGTTTCCTGGATACTTAATGTTCACAGTCATCATATTCTCTCCCATGTATTTTATGATGTTGGTGCTTCAAAATGGCATTTGAAGAGAAATGAATCTGTCTAGGATTTATGATTACTTCTCTTAAACTCTGTCACATAGGAGCTATTATCCCACATTACAATCAGAATCAATATCATGCTATGAAAATATTCTTGAAAACCTGTGCTCATTTTTGTGCTGCTACATGTATTACTATAATAATCTGGAAAATAGCCTTTAAATTCAGAGTTATTTCAAAGACTATTGTAAAAAATACATACTGGTACAGTATTTCATGATATATTGACTCTCCCCTTATTATGTTGGAAATGTTCTGTCATATGATAATAATTTAGCATGCACTGGGAAAAAAATCAAGAAAGTTTACTAACCTTAACAACCATTTCAAAGGTGAAAACACCTGTGAAGACATAATCAAAGTAACGAAGAACCTATAGGAAGGAGAGAAAATAATAAAAATATACAGTTCAAGACTTGCTAACTCCTTTGAAATAAATGAGCCTAACTGATCTTGCAATTAAATCAGTGTGAAGTGAGCAAGTCTTGAGGAGGCATTCGAAAGTTTCAGGCAGCAAAGACCCCCACACATAATCAGAATCTCTGAAACAACAAATCAGTTTAGCTGTACTTTGGTCAGGAAGGATTCGTTTCCTTGTACAATATGAACTAACCTCTGCAATCATGGTGGAAAATATGAAGATGGTGAGTGGGGAAAAAGAGTTTTAAAATAAGAACTTTCCCACATGGCTTCTAGCTCCAAATACATGTAAACAGCACATTTACAGCATTGAGGGGCACTTAGTCGCTATCCTCAGCTTTCCCTTCTTGAGTTGACTAGCATATCCTTCAGCTGGAGGGAATACTAAAAATAATTTTTTGTAAAGATGATTGTATTTGGGGAGCAGCAAAGCCCGTCCTCAGTATCAGTGCAGAGGAATTAGGTGTGAGTGTGGCAAAGGGTAACAGTGCCAGGCTATCTGGCAGAAGGGGAGAAACTGCATAAGGTGAGAACTAGTCTTCTCTCGCAGCTCCAGAGGAAATACTGCAAATTGTTTTCATGACATTCTCCTAGGAGTAGGAGTCAAGCTGATAGCTGTTAGTCTCATGTGAGCTCACAATATTATGGAGACATAGGGAGGAGGAGTGACCTGAGATAACTGCCATTTCCACATGTGGAAAAGTTCTTAGGTTTAATCAGAATCAGGATTGAAAATGTTAAGAGGGACCATCTTTAAAGGAAAAAAGAATAATTCTCTATTGATAAAAATAAACAAAGTAGTAAATAATAATAAAAACTAAGAAAAGAATCTCTCCTTATAAATTTGTGATACCCACATTGTAAGAAACAACATCGTTTTTCCTGTAAGAAATCAGACAAATAAACTGAATTTTTATTAGTCACATGGGGCAACATATTACATTGAAAATAAATGTTCCTTGCTTTATTGAAGAGCAGCATGTGTATATGTGTGTGTGTGTGTGTGTGTGTGTGTATGTGCGTGTGCACACATATGCGTATACACACACACCTCTTTCTAAAAGACAACAGTTGTCCTACATTAATATAGCAATTTGAATTAAATGTTCAATTTAATTCAGTGAATTAAAGTTATGTTGTAAGGAAAAGTGTGAATCCTATCATACATACTAAAAAAAGGATAAGCAGCACATTATTGATGTACGCCTTTAAAGCCTTACGAAAATATTAAATTTTATACTATACTTTGATTCAACAGCTGTTTTTCCTTACATTAGTGCTGAATTTTACACTGTATGTTGATTTAATATTTCAGGAGCCATGGTGGTATTGTAGTTACAATGCAGTATTGCAAGCTAACTCTTTCCACAACCAGGACATCGATACTGACTGGTTCAAAGCTGACTCAGCCTTCCATCCTTCCGAGGTCGATAAAATGAGGACCCAGAGTGTTACAATATGTTGACATTGTAAACTGCTCAGAGAGCTCTATAAAGCACTATGGAGTGCTATATAAACCTAAGTGTTGTTGCTGTTGCTATCTCTTCAATTATAGCAGAGAATTATTATTTCTAAGTAGGACACTACATCCATTACTATCCCTTGATTTTTGAAGTTTCTAGGAAAAAGATGAATCTGAGGGGGGAAAGCAAGGTGATCTGTACATATGAAACTGATTTTAAATAAATCAACATTTATTGAGAAGGTCTGCGAAACAACAGCATAAAGTATATCAAATAAAGCATATAAAAACATTTCAATAGCAAATAAAATAAGGGCATGATAATCTTTAGGATGAAGTTAAAACTAACACGAACAGGTTGCTCCCACAACAAACAGCATCTATCTTTTTGCAAAACTGAAAGTTAATTTGCTGTTTAGTATAACTAAAATCTCTTGCAGTCATTTTTAAGTTCACTCTGAATCTTGAACTGAGGCCTGATACTATTTCTTAAGGTTACAAGAATGTTTATGCAACACTGATCATTTATTACATACACATCTGCAAAGAGTGAAAGGAGAGACTTGAAAAAGAGAGACAACTAGAGGAAGGAATATTTCTTTTCCCCTATGGAAGGGAGCAGCAATTATCAAAAGCAATTGGGACATTTTAAAGATGAGAAGGAAACAGGAATTGCATGACATTGGCAGGAAAAGGTCTGCAAGAGTTTAAAAATCTCACTGGAACCAGTTCCAAAGGAGACGCATCAGGCTGAGCTACAGATAAGCAAACAGCTCAGCCAATCAAAATCCGAACATCCAAAATTGGCACTGAATGTAAAATTTTAATCCTTATTCTCCAATATTTTAAAAAACATATTTTCAAAATTAAATTCTTTTACGTTATTTAAAATATCAACGGTACAAATTTGTTTAGAGAAATGTTTTCGTTCAACCAATGGCTAAGTGCCATATTATACTGAGTACATAACGAGTATGCTAGACTATTATTTAAATTGCAAGTTTAAGGACTATTAAGCAAGAAAGCTTGGGCATACAGTTATCCATTTGATAGCAGTGGCAAAAAGGGCTGGGTTAGTTGCTTTGTTTACTTGTTCTCTCTGTCAAAATCACAGCCACTTTTCTGCTTTGGATGTGCAATTGTACTATACCATTGCCCTTTTCTGTCACCCAGAACCTTCTAATCTAGAGAGGGCTTAACTTTCCTAAGAGATGAATAATCTCCACCGTGTAATAATGTCACTGCTGTAATAATGTCACTCCATCTGGTTACCCTTGTTTTTTAGTTGGCGTATGGTTCCTGGATGTTTGAGTTGCTTTTTCCACATGCCAACATAAAGATTTCTTATTGCTGCCTAATGCAGAATGTCTGCTTCCTGCCCATCCCCCTACTGAGATGCTGTGCTAATTATTTCATTACTGTTTCCTTAGGGATATC